TTCTATGCATCTCATGTATAACAATCAAATAAGTTTTTATATTTTACAATTCAACAATAATGTAGAAAACATAATTAATATAATTTAGAATTATCATGTTAATAGTTATTGGATATATATGTATATGTATATGTATATGTGTGTGGTTTGAAAATTGTCTCTCAAATGAATTTGCGTACTTCAAACAATTAGTTTCTTAGGTCTTTCTTGAGACAATAGTTTATTTCTATTCTTTCTTGTTGTTTTGACTCTTACTACAAAAGAAAAGTTTCTAATTCTCAACCAAGAAATACTTTGAAGTATGGACAACCATTAAAAAAGTACTCTCTGATATTTTTGCAAGACATTTGATTATTGGAATAAAAGGTACCTTCATTTAATAGTTATTATAGAAGTAGTTGTGGGGTAAGACATGATTATTAAATAGAAGTATATATATATATATATAAAATAAATAATGAGATTTATAATTTATAAGATATTAGTATATTTTTTAAAAGAAAAAAGCTAAAACATTACTATTAGTTTTGAATCAAGAGAATAACTTTTTTCCTATGAAGTAAAAAAATTAATCACTGCAAAATTATGAATACCTGGAACCTTTTTCCACACAAGAAAAGCAAATAGTTACCTTGTACAAGTACAACAGAAGATAAGGAATTATCCAGAAATGAGGAGGGAAAAAAGAGTGAATAGAAGGTTAGTGATGTTGGAGAAATAAGAGTGCAAAAGGTAGCAGCATGGTCCAGTTATTTAATGTATGTGTTTCAATTGAGCTTTGATTGTCATCATCCAGACAATGATGAGACCAAGATCTGCATGTGATCCTATTTTCGAACAAGAGAAGGAAGTTCCTCATCCTCAGTCCCAACTACATCACACTTATTATCAACATCTTATAAAAGTGGTCCTGTAACATATATATCATATTTTTATTGGGGTTTTTAAATCAATTTAACTACAATATATTGATGGTGTAAATATTTTTTACTTTGCGAACGAATCATTGATTATAATCATGATTATGTACAATAAAATTGTTGAGATTTTAAATTATTTATTTGAAAATTTATAATTAATTGGTAATATAATTTATTTAAGTTTTACAGTAATAGCGTGTCAAAGTTAAACAAGGATCATCAAAATTTAACTAATAGTAAAAAGTTAAAATAGTATACATGTGTCCTCAGTTTTACGTCATTCTTATTTCTAGTGATTAAAAAAAAAAAAATCATCCTATATTTTGTAATGCTAATAGTATGAAGCATTTTAGTTATTGGTTATGTAGTTCTCATAGTAAATATTTAGTCCATGAAATAACATAAGCAATAAGTATTCATAATCCATCATTAAAACATAAATATAAAAAAAGTAAAAATATTATACAAACCTCATTCTCATACTCACTAACAATATGAATTAATTAGTATGAAGTTATTTTACTTTAATTAATAGTCTTATATTTGAGTTTTATGTGATTATGTAGAATAATTGGATAGTTTTGGTGTGCATAATAATCCTACATAACTTGATCAAATGGTTGAAGATATATTTAGTATTATTGAATGAAAATAAAAAAAAATTAATAAAAATATGCTAGAATTATTAGAATTATTCTTTCATCGTCCCTGCTCTTTATTATTATTAATCATAATAGATGAATAAGTTACTCCCTTTATTTCTTTTAATTATCCATTTTTAGAAGGATTTTATTTTATTTGTTTGTCATTTTTAAAGTTTAGACATTAATTGCATTTTTTCTATTATACATTTACTTCTTAGATTACTTTTAATTATTTTTCATATTTATAATTAATATGTATTTGTTGATGATGGAATCATGCTTAGGAGGGCAAGAGGTGATACCTTGAAGGAATCAAGAGGAATGGGCTATACATGAAGATTTGGGTTAGTCAAAGTTCAATGGGCCCGATGGGCTTGGAAGGTATGTAATAGGCATGAATCATAGAATTGTAATTACATTTAAGAGTAATTAGAGTTACATTTGAGTCACATGTTTTGTGCCAAGGGTGGCTGCACATGTGATCACTCAAATGAACCCTAAATTACACTTAAATGTAATTAGGATTCTAGAAAGGTGGCTGCCACATGGGAGAGCATAGTCAAAATTTGAATTCAAATTCAAATTTGAATTCAAATTTGGCGCCAATTGGAGCACATGGAGGTGTCGCCATTTTCTCATTGATCTATGGCCTATATATGCTAGTTTCCTTCCTCATGTAATCACTTTTGAGTTTAGAGAATTCTGAAAATACACTTCAACTATTTTCTCTCCAAGAGTCACCCAAGTTCTAGACTTACCTTTAGGGATCCGAAATCTTCTAAAGCCTTTTGTGAGCTTTCCTTGGCATTCTTTGCTAGAGTGCTTCCATCTTAGGTTTGGATCTTCAAACCTAGTCTTCTTTTTCAGTCCTTCCGTTCCAATTCAAGGTCTCAAGGAGGAGAGCAAGTGCGGATACAAGCAAGGGAGATTCATCCGTTCATCTCTTCTACTTGGATCCATCATTTTTGGTATCAAGAGCATAGGTTCAATCCTTGAGGTTAAGTTCTTCCTTTCACCGATTGGTTTGTCATTTTTGTGTCATTTCTTGTCTCCAATGTGTTTCGCTGTTTGGATCTAAATTTTGTCAAAAGTTTTTTAGAGATCCAATTGGTGTGATTGTGTTTGAACAATCTGGCAATCACATTGAGTCTAGGAATTCCACCTTGTCCGGTTTTCAATTTGTTTGAGTCTTCTTATGAACAATTATTCTGATTCGGTCATTTGAAATTTGAATGCATGTGAATTTGATTTTTGAATCTTAATTTTTGTCTAGAAGTCATGTTTAGTCATTTCTTTGTCATAAATTCAAGATGTGCTTAGTCTAGCCAATTTTCAATTTGATTTGGAATCTTGATTTTCTTGCTTTGGTCGAGAGAAATTAATTTTGTGTTTGTGCTTTGGTGCTTTTCATTTTACTACTTTGAGTTCATATCCATCAATAGATCATTGGTGGATTATTAGAGTTAGGCTTCTATTGTGTCTTACTTGTTTGTTTTGATAGTGATTCC